ACTGAGTATTCAGGTTAAGGGGGTAAAAAACCCCTGGAAGGAATAGTTTTCCCACCCTGAATAACCATTTCTGAATCACAGCACCATCACTGGGTCTATGACAAAGGCTGGATGGAGCCAGGAAAACATGGAAACTGTCCCCAAAGAAAGTGCTTCCATAGTTCACAGGAAGCATCACATTGCATTTCCTTATTTGAACCCTACTTGCTTTAGCTGCAGCAGATTAACATGGCTCTCCTCTGAAAATAACGAAGAAATCCTCAGTAAATCAGAGATGTGGAACCCGTGGACCTCCATGTTGTCCAGGTTGGCATAGCCAGTGATGAGGGATGATGCGAGTTGTAGTCCAACCAATACCTGGAGGGCCACAGCCTCCCCCTCACTGCTTTAAATATTCTTTTCTACCACTCCCTGAAAGCGATTCCCATGCCATCGTTGTAGAATGGGCACATAAAAAATGAATGTGCTGCCACAATGCGTGTGTATGCTTCATCACATCCCACATAAATTCTCTTGACTGACACCAAAGTGTGGTTTTCATTCTGTTTCAAATGGCTCTGGAAAAGAAATCTCTAACAAAAAGGGGTATCTGAAATTTTCTATTACAGTAATGGGCGTTTGGGAAGGAAATGGTTGTACCCATTCCTCTCACCCCTCAGAGGGCCAGTTTTTAGGTTAGAAGGGGAGGGAAGTGATAGCATATGCCATTGCATTAACCTAAAAGACAAGGTCTGCTTCCAAACAAAGCAGAACCACAAATCTTATGGAAAATACAGCACATTTGGCTACATGAACGAGCCATGTAGTTTTAGGAGCCATGGCAAGTAAACAATCATTTGGAAAATAGACACTCTTCAGTACAGAAACAAATATAATTGGTGAAAGGCTAGGGAGTGGTGTTCTTTATGCTAAATCAATCCTCATACGGTGGTACCTTGGTTCTCAAACATCTTGGTACTCAAACAACTTGGAACCCAAACACTGCAAAGTAAGTGTTTGCGAACTGTTTTCAAAAGCTGAACGTGCTCCGTTTTGAGTGTTACACTTCTGATTTGAGTGCCACACTTCCATTTTGAGTGTTATGCTGAGGTCTGTCTGTTTTTGCTATTTATTTTGTGTTTTTGTGCCCTTTTTGTTTTGTTTTTGTGACTGTGTGGAACTCAGTTCAGCTACTGATTGATTGATTGATTGTGTGACTGCAGTACATTGTTTATTGCTTTCATTTTATGGATCAATGGTCTCGTTAGATAGTAAAAGTCATGTTCAATTGCTGTTTTAGGGGTTGTTTTTAAAAGTCTGGAACGGATTAATCCATTTTGCTTTACTTTCTATGGGAAAGCGTGCCTTGGTTTTGGAACACTTTGGCTTTGGAACGGACTTCTGGAACGGATTAAGTTTGAGAACCAAGGTACCACTGTATACGAAAATGCCTCAGATTTCTCTAACAAATGTCTGTAGTTCTATAAAGTGACCCACCTCATATATTGAGAACCATCATTGAGAACCATCACTCCAGTTACTTATCAACTGGAGATCTGCTTAACACGAGTAGCCAACCATTTTTGGCCTGTTGGCACATCTGGAAGTTTGAAATGTGCCAGGACTGGCAGAAACAAAATGGCTGCCATGGGGATGTGACATAACGGAAAAAGTTTACACATCTGCACGAGCAGGAAAAAGAGACAATGGCACAAAACGGTTTGTGGACACATCCCCATGAATGGAAGAAAGCCACTAACATCAGCCATTCTCATATTTGCTCGTAAAGAGAAACTATTTGCACCTCTTCTCTGTTCAGAGGCTGAGCCAGTGCTAGCAAGAACAGATCAGGTACAGCAAACAAACACTCTCTCAGGCAATGTGGATTTCTGAGGGGGTATTTACTGAAACCTTTTGTGGGCACCAGAGGAGGCCACATTGCCACCTATGGGTACCTTGCTAGCAGCCCCTGGATGGCACAAACTTATCCAATGAATAATGGAGACAGTGCTCAACTAAGAATTGGCTGGAAACACTGCTATTGCGAGCTGACGGTTTAAATAATTTTCCTGGTCTGGAATTTATTTTATTTTTGAGGCAAAACTACCGACAAATCATTATGGAGGTGGGTCTTAATGTTGAGTACAAAAGAGCAGGAAATGTTTCCACACTAATCAACAGCATTTTGTTTTTGTTTTAAACCAAGCCCTCTCCCCACCAGCATTCAGTATTTGAACAAGGATATTTTCCAGCCTGAATAGTTAAAAATGAAATTTTCGGTACCACTTTTCAGTTCCAAGTGATTAGGAAAAGCAAGGCCACTGTATTCACTTCTTCCTTTTTCATTAATGATATTTTTTTTAAAAAAAAGGATATTCCATGTTCTACAAACTGCATCTTATGAATGGTTTACAAGAAGGCCTATGCCAGACAGCCAAACAAACATGCATGCCTTTCAGTATCCAGTCAGAGAATTTGTTCCTTCGCCTATTTGAGCATATTCCTTACACACATTTTCCTCCCCCCCCCCTTGTATAAATTTCTGTCCACAAGCAAAGGCTCTCTTGCCTTCCTCCTGCGGGTCTCTTGTGTGACTGCCAAATTTATCTGACAGGTAGGCAGCTTGCTTTGTGCAGGTGCCCTTGTTTTGTATGTGTATATGTATTTTAGAAAGTGATGGTGTGATCACACCCTGTACATAATAATTTCTGCCCCAGGTGACAACGCTAAAAGTATTTTTTTAAAAAAACAAAACAAAAACAAAACAAAAACTTCCATGCTGTTCAAAACACTGAGATCCTTTAATATTTATAAGCTATTTCCCCATCCAATTACTTGAGTAAAGTGTATTATGCAGTGTATTATGCATTAAGTTGCATCCCCTTTGGGTACAAATAAGAATTGTTAACCAATGAGAATTACTTAATTTTTTTTAAAGCACACTAATCAAACCAAGCAACCAACCAACCCCTAAACAATAATCCAGACCCTCTCTTATTTTCCAGTTTCTATAGCTAATTTGGGGTGGAGAACCTATATCCCTCCATATGTTGTTGGACTCCATAAGAGGATAAAAAGAGTCTTGATAGATTGGAAGGCTTATCTGCTGTTTTCACAGTGTTCAAGCACTGTTTTCACCAGTGCTTTTTTCGGGGGGGACGGGGGACAGGGACATAGCTGTCAACTTACAGATTTGAAAATAAGGGACCAGCAGCCTCGAAAATAAGGGATCAGCAGCCAAAATAAGGGATCAACAATTACTTTGATAAAATACAAATTTTGTTGCGTGCAAATGGCTTTAGATACCTATTAGGTCCATAAATTACCATATAGCATATATTCAACACAAAAAAACAGCAATAATTTGTTGTTGACAAAGGACAGCTGGACATAGAAAGGGCCCCATTACCTTCAGTAGCTTATTTAAGGGACATCATCAATAAGGGACAGCAGCGGGACATGGCGCTGGGATAAGGGACTGTCCCGCCAAATAAGGGGCACTTGACAGCTATGGACAGGGACAGGGATGCAGAGGTACGCACACCCCTAAACATTTTGCGAATCTTTGTACTTTTGTCCATTTACTGTATTTATTTTCCCTGGTTTGAACTACAAAATGGTGATTTTCTTGAGTCAAAATGAGAGTACCCCTAAACATTTTTTTAAGGAAAAAAGCACTTGTTTTCACAGTGGTCAGTCAGAAACCTTTGAGGAGCCCAAAGGCACAATGGGAAGAGAATATCACTCATAACCCTTAGCAATTGGTATTCAGTTCCCTATGGTACTGGATGTAATACAGCCATCATGACTAGTAGTCATTGATATCCTTATCCTCCATGAATTGATCTAATCTAATGCTCAGTAGGTAGAGCAAGAGGCTTGTAATCTCAGGGTTGTGAGTTCGAGACCCACGTTGGGCAAAAAAATTCCTGCATTGCAGGGGGTTGGACTAGATGACCATCAGGGTCTCTTCCAATTCTACAAATCTATGATTCAAAAACTGTCCAAGTAGATGGCCACCACCCAATTCTGTGTGAGCAAATTCCATACTTTAGGAATACACTGATTGAAGATGTTCTTCCATTCTGGCGGTTCCCTCACTGAGAGAAGTGAGGTTACAGGGAACCAGACAGAAGGCCTTCTCAGTAGTGGCGCCCGCCCTGTGGAACACCCTCCCATCCGATGTCAAGGAAATAAGCAGCTGCCCTATTTTTAAAAGACATCTGAAGGCAACCCTGTTTAGGGAAGTTTTTTTAATATTTAATGCTGTATTGTTTTTAACACTCGATTGGGAGCCGCCCAGAGTGGCTGGGGAAACTCAGCCAGATGGGCAGGGTATAAATAATAAATTATTATTATTAGTAGTAGTAGTAGTAGTAGTAGTATGTTCTGAATGTCTCACCACTCTAGTATTATGCAAGACAAACAACTTTTCCTCATCCATAACCACCAATGTCCCTGACGATTGGCCATGTTGGTTAGGATCTATGGCAGGCTTCCTCAAACTTGGCCCTCCAGATGTTTGAGACTACAATTCCCACCATCCCTGACCACTGGGTCCTGCTAGCTAGGGATCATGGGAGTTGTACGCCAAAAACATCTGGAGGGCCAAGTTTGAGGAAGCCTGATCTATGGGAGTCACAGTCAAACAGGATCTGGAGGGCACAAGTTCCCCATCCCTGATCTAACTCTTTCCATAAATTACTCTGTTGTCAGCAACTTAGTCATCTCTATGATCATAGAATCCCACCACATCTAACTGTTCTTTGCTTATTTGATAGCCTAATAAGTTTGGGAAAGAGCAGGGAATATGATCCAAGCTTGGATAGCTCATTTGGTTAGAGAGTAGTGCTGATAACGCCAAGGTTTGATCCCTTTTTGCGATAACTGCATATTACTACATTGCAGAGAGTTGGACTAGATGATCCCCAGAGACCTTTCCAACTCTACAATTCCATGATTCTGCACACCTGACAGGAGAAATCAAGGTCAAGTCAAAGGAGAGTCCACTGAAAACTCACCTGTAAGTATTTGTGCATGAACCAGGAAGCTTGCTTTCCGTCATTCACTGATTCCACTGTAGTGTTGGCCAGTCCACTAACGTCACCTCCTGCAAAAATCCACGGCTCGCTTGTTTGCATGGTCTCTTGATCAATTTCAGGGAGACCCCATCTGTTGAACTTGAGAGGATGCAGGGCTTCTTTTACTGTTTTGTAAGGAAAGAGGGGTTGGGAGGGAAGCAGAAAAAAGTAGATGACACAGGTATCTACTGTAAGTTTGGAAAAACTCTTTGTCTGTACACTTGTATTTTCGGATACCTCTTAAAATATCTTAATTAAATTTTGCATGTCAGCTCCTAAAACCAAGAGGAACAGGTTTTTGTCTGTTTGGGAATACCACTGAATGCCGTTTCAAAACAAAATGGCAGATTGGACCTTTCAAAACTGCAGCAATTTGGACACCACTTAAGATACCATAACCAAACTTGGGACAATGCTTCCTAAGGTCAAAGAGCAGTTGTCTGTCTTTATTTGGATACTGCTGGGTGCCCTTTTGAAACACAATGGCGTACTCAATCTTTCAGAGATTTGGACACATCTTAGGATATCATAACCAAATTTGTCATGATGACCCCTGAGACAAGAGGAAGTTTCCTGTTGAGTACCATTGGATGACATTTTATCTCAAGATGGTGGACTCAATATTTCAAAAATGCACTCATTGTCAATGTGGGCTGCTGCTGAAGTCTTAGAATTCCCAGGCAAGATGGATGCCCCTGCTATTAACACTTAAAATGTTCCATACTATTAGGTACCTGAAGGACTGTACCACTTCAGACTGCCCATGGGGGGAATCACATAACAGAATGCTCTTTAGCACAAAACCATTCTCCGCATGAATCTCATGAGCATCTCAGAGAAACAACAAGGCCAGAACCTTTCTCACTGAGAATAATTTATTATTATTATTATTATTATTATTATTATTATTATTATTATTATTATTTTTGAGGAATTCTCAATATTACGAGCCACTACCTTCTATCTGAAAAAGCACAGTCCAAAATCAAGTTTAAATCCTTACCTGCTTTTTGGGGAAACTAGGACTCTCTGGTTGTTTGATGAGTATCATCTCGGTTTAAGGTAATCAAAACAGTATGTTGCTGTGAGTAGAGTAGTAGGCACTAGGGGACAACATGGTGGGGCTGTGCTGCTCACCTGACCTCCCTCCAGCTTACTCGCTGCTTCATACCAGAAGGAGGAGAGGGGAGAAATAAGGCAACAGTAAGGCCAGTACACGGGTGGCGCTGTGGGTTAAAGCCTCAGCGCCTAGGACTTGCCGATCGTCAGGTCGGCGGTTCGAATCCCCGCGGCAGGGTGCGCTCCTGTCGCTCGGTCCCAGCGCCTGCCAACCTAGCAGTTCGAAAGCACCCCCGGGTGCAAGTAGATAAATAGGGACCGCTTACTAGTGGGAAGGTAAACGGCGTTTCCGTGTGCTGCGCTGGCTCGCCAGATGCAGCTTGTCACACTGGCCACGTGACCCGGAAGTGTCTGCGGACAGCGCTGGCTCCCGGCCTATAGAGTGAGATGAGTGCACAACCCTAGAGTCTGGCAAGACTGGCCCGTACGGGCAGGGGTACCTTTACCTTTACCTTTAAGGCCAGTACAGTGCAAACACGCTGGTAGAACCAATCTAGCACTCCTTCCGGTGCATTTGGAGCATGCTGACCTTGTTGCTGCCTCTCCTCTTCTTGGTATGCATCAGTGACTCAATTGCCAGGAGATCAGGGGAATGGCACTGCCACGTCAAACCATCTGCTGCTGGTAGAAGAGTCTTAGACGGGAAAGTCTGGTTTCATATCCCCATTCCTCTATAGAACTCCCTTGGTGACTTTGCATCAGCCACAAACCCTCAGCCTCAACCTCATAGGGTTTCTATGGGGATAATATGATAATATGTGGGGTGAGATGTAGATTGCCTTGTTTTCTTCAGAGAAACAACAGGGTACATGTGTAATGAACAACAAAACAATGCATTTATATTTTTTGATGTATCGTTCATTATGGTTTGATGCAAGATGTCTTGGAAAGGTTTTGCCCTGAAAACTGGCAAACAATGAAACAAACAATAGCTATGATAAATTAAACCAGGAAACAATTAGGCAAATAAATAAAACGGCAAAAAAGAACGGAAGATTGTTCTCTTGCTCATGGCAAAAAGTAATTTTAACTTCAAAATAATGTCATTTATTCCGCTATAGTTTAAAATTCAGAACAATCTGTCATTTAAAAAGCACTAGCTCCTTAATTTTAGCCGCATATGGAAGTACATTTGAGTATTATTTTAGCACATATTGATGCCTTGTATCAAATGAATGACGTTTATGTTACCATTACTCTATTATGGTACCCAGGTTCTCCCTCCCCACCCGCCTCCAAGTGACAGGGTGGGAGGGGTTTTTTTTAGCATCCCTTGGGGACATACCATACACAGATGCAGATTGCTAAGGTCAATTAAACTGATGTAGCTGTGCTGTCATATATGTAAAAGAGAATCCTGCTAGTATATTTCTCAGTTGTCATAGACAGTGTCAAAGATGTGTTCTGTTTCTACAAGAGATGAGCAGAGGCAGCTGTGTTTTGCCTTGGGAAACCCTCTGTAAAGTCAAAACTATCATTATAGGAAGGGATCAGATTTCCATAATTTCCTATTCTCCATTTCCATGTCAATGAGTTAAATAATGGGATAGAGGGCAACCATGTGTCAAGGGCTTGTTAGTGGGACAGATCAAGTGAGGGGGGGGATGGATTTGAAGGAGGAAAGGCAACTGAGGCTGTAGTAGACATAGGGCTGCCCCACAGAAGTTATATGGAGGTGCACAGTCAAGGCTTTCTTTCAAACATTTTCTGCAGCTGCTCCAGAAGCGGAAGAGTTAAGCCTCTTCAATCTTTACAAGTGGCTAGATTCTTCAGCCTCAGAGATGCTATGGTAAATAAAGTCTATTTGGGTCATGGTCACCACTGTGACTGAAAACACCAAAAGGAGAATCTGTGGGGTGGCAGTGGGTGGGGGAAAGCAAAGCAAATTGGATTTAGACCCTCACACAGGCACTATCTCAAAATGCACGGGAAGGAAGTAATAATTAAGTCCAATATCTCATTTTTTTGATACAGTCAACAAAACGCTATTATGACAAATTAATATGACTACCACATAGTGGCTGGTAATACTGATAATGCCAAGCACGAAATGTTTTGAAACCCTGAATGCTAAGATAAAGCACTGATGGCTTAGACAAAAATACCAGGAAAAGAAACTGTTTTGCATGTTTCAGCAGCTAATTTTAAAACTGGAAATACTGTGTCACTTTCAGGATCAGAAGCGATTAGTCTCCTTTAAAGCCCCACCACTTGCAGAAAACTAAACTGAACGGAAGCAAACAAAGCATGCATTTGGTTAAGTCTGCTAAAATAATTTACAAAGTCCCAAGACTAGATTTCTTTTCTCCAGGTATCTGATTTCCAAGCAGCTGAGTTGGTTTAATATTTCTACGGATAAAATAAAAAGGACCTAACGTTCCAGGCTATATTTCTTGAAACCTTAATAGGCACGTCATGGTTGTTGGAGAACGGTACTTTTGCAACTATAGTAAACAGGAAAAATTGGCTAATTAGACTATTAGCTGTGTTGTGTAGTGGTTAGGAAGCTGGACTAGGGTTCAAATCCTCTCACAGCCCTGAAGCTCATTGGGTGTCCTTGGGCAGTCACAGCCTAACAGGGTTGTTGTGATCATAAAACGGGGAGGGGAAGTTGAACCATGAGCATTACTACCTTGAGCTCTTTGGAAAAGAAGTTATAAATGCAATAAATATTGACCACTACTTTGAATCCAGGCACTTGATGTTCCTGTGTGGTTCATCTCACACAATCTCACCCCTCCCAGGTTACTGTGGCATTAGTGGGAGGGGAGAAAAGTAGCTCTGACACCACTATCAGGAAACAAGACCCTGTTTTCACTATCAAGAAACATTTTATTCCACGGCAGGGACAACTTATATTCTTCCAGCAGCACTTGAAAGGCTGCCGGTACTGCGAGTCAGACAGTAGCTATGCAGTCTGAACAGATCATTCAAACTGGATGACAGCATGCCAAAGTTACCAAAAGATAGCAGCACAAATGCAGAAACCAAAATAATTTTGTAGACTACATTATAGTTCAAGCTGCTGCGTTCATTGAGCAAATAGACACAAATAGGAAAGCGTCAACCAATTATACACCACTTGGTGTGGGGGGACGACGACTACGAGTAATATTAAGATATATCGAAAAGCTGGAAAATATTTTAATTAGCAAAACAAATCAAATGGAAAAGATTCCTCAAATAAAGCTTTAAAAGTGACACAGTGTGTGCTTGACTGCCATTACTAATTAGGTATCCATGTAATGTGTGTTCAATTTGGGCTTATTTAAATAGCAGAAATGCTCATTAGCTGCAGTATTTCTGTGAAGCCTCAGTAAACAGTTTAATGGTATTTTATGTTTAACCAATTTCATAAGTTCCTGTAATTTTGGCGTTTGCAGCTCATTAATGTTATTTTTGATATACATCTTGCAGACTTCTTTCACCGAAAACTGGCAGTATTCCCTTGACTGCACTTGGGATATATAGTGACTTCTGCTTAAACCAGAAACGTAAAGAAAGGAGAAGATGGCAATAACTTTATGATAGAGCCAGTCTGGCTCTTGTGTTATTAAGGCAAAAAAAACCCACACACAAAAACACCCTTAAAAGGTTCAACAGAAAGTGGTACAGGAGAACATTGCTTTGGAGCCTAAATTGACTGGCTTTCTTAGGGAACTGAAGCAGATAGAAAAGTATATTTCTGAGCTCTTCCTATAATCTATTGTACAGTTTGCACCACCATTTTGATACATCATAAACGAAGTGAGCTAGATGAAGCTAGGTGATTTTAGACCCTGGTAAGGATGAGTGAATAGAACAATTTCCGTATCTCTTATTATCTTCAAGTCTTACGGTCAGTTCTCCATATTTCCACAGCACCCTTCGCTTCTTCTTTTCTAAGCTCTCATGAAAATTTATCAGCTTTTTAGTGCACCAGCACAGAATGATGATATAGGTGGCCTGCTAAGGATGTGGGCCTTCCTTTATTTTCTTTGGGACTTCCTCACCCCAGACCATCAAC